GCAGCCGCAGCCGCAGTCGCAGTCGCAGTCGCAGTCGCAGTCGCAGTCGCAGTCGCAGTCGCAGTCGCAGTCGCAGTCGCAGTCGCAAGTCGCAAGTCGCAAGTCGCAAGTCGCAAGTCGCAAGTCGCAAGTCGCAGTAGCAGTAGCATAGTAGTAGCAGTAGTAGTAGTAGTAGTAGTAGTAGTAGCAAGAAGAAGAAACACAACAAACCACACAAAATAACCGAAACCCGGATCTTAATGACGGTTCGGTCCTGCTTGGATGACGCGTCGGAAAGCACGAAACAGTGCTCCAGGGGGTGCCTCTGCTTGCACCTTCCGAAACGATTGTTTCTACTTTTGTGGGGGTAGGGGCAGTCTGGGAAAGGAAGCCTTAATTTACAAGCGATGTGAGCTTCTTCGAGGCTAACGATAACACTGACCTATGACTGCGATCGCTGATGTTCTCATGTTGCTACCGATCGAGCTGTTAGATATGTGCACTTGTGGTCATCCTCGTCATCGTTGTTGCGACGACTCCAACAATGCGGCCTTGCCTTTATCTGAAGTGATGCCCATATGGGTTGTTCTCTAAATTAGGGTCCATTTTGGGGTCCTTTCTATAACAGGGCCTGTATAAGGGTGCCGTACTATATTGGGGACCCAAAAAGTGACCCTAATTTAGAGAACTACCCATAGTTGGGTCGGACAGTAACGGAGCTTGACGCGCTGCCTAGCTCACAGGTTGCGGGGAGGCATGTTACCGTTGCTACGCAGCAGTCTCTGTTCCCTTCTGCCCGGGATATTATAATAATCACCATCAACTTCTCTGTTCCATCCTCTTCATTTTCAAACTTTCAGCTACTACAAGCACTACAGTAAGGGGAAGAACTGAAGAACTTGCCATGCGAGAGAACAAGAGAGACGAAGCCGGTAGACATTCACAAGCATCTAGAGCGTAGGACTTAGGATCCATGGGTTAAGGAGGGACGTCGTCGAGTCTAACATCGGCAGCATGCCTGAAATTACTATTCTTACTAGTATCTCCAATAGACATTCACCAATCTCACCAAGTCCCTCATAATTTCGAATTTTGGTTACCTGCAAGGAGATACCAACGTTGACAACTGCCATTCTGCAAGACCAACCCCTTCCCGCGCATTATTGCTATGGCTCTTGCTTCGAAGGAGCCAGCCAGCCCATGTTGTAATCCAACTTGCCTGATCTCTTCTCAGTTGCAGGGCTTTTTTATGGCGCACTTCTTGCGGGCGCAAGTGCAGAAGCAAGTCGAGGTCTCAAAAGCATAGGCCCCACAGTAGTTCCTTTTCGGGCTCCCTAAGAGGATCCTGAATATAAACCACAAAAAGGAACTACTACGGGGCCTATGGGTACCCCTTCGAGCATGAGACTGAACAGGCAGAGCTCCAAACTCCTGAGCCAGAGTTCCACACTCAAAAGGCACCCGTCGCAACAACCGACCGCCTTTGCCGGGAGATGTAATGTAATGAAATGAAATGCTATGTAATGTACGTGTGTATGAGTGAATGTATGTATGAGTGAATGTATGAGTGAATGTATGTATGTATGTATGTATGTATGTATGTATGTATGTATGTATGCGCATGTATGTTCGGCATGTAGGTGGGGAAGGTAGGTAGGTAGGTCGGTCGGTCGATAGGTAGGTAGGTAGGTAGGTAGGTAGGTAGGCAGGCAGGCAGGCAGGTAGGTAGGTAGGTAGGTAGGTAGGCAGCTGGATAGGTAGACTTCTACCTCAATATATATATATATATATATATATATATTCTTATATATGTATGCAACCTGCTACTAGACATGTCAAAGCGGTGTAGAGTGCAATGTGGCACCTAGCGAGTCTTCTTGTTACGTGTTAACCAAGTGTGCCATGAATGTCATTTTTGATACGTGTCCACAGGCACAAAACATGTGCATAGATGTGCATGTAAACATATCTTTTTTCACACTCAAAAGGTGCCGGTCTCTTGGACACCTAATAATGCGCCTTGAAAGTTTCGTCGTCTCGTGGTGCGGGGCATAAGATAGGGCAGGAGACGACCAACTGGGACTGCAAGCATCGACTTGAAGCGAATCGTTCAACCGAACCTGCTTCGGAAAGTTGCAGTCGTAGACAAGCACGAAGTATAGTGGAGAACAAAATGCTTTTTAACTGTGCAGCCCTGCGCCGCTGTTAAGCATAAATCAAACCAGGGTGCAGTGGGTGAAGCGGATGCTCTTCTGCTGCTCACCCGGCAGCCCAGCAAAGGAGGGTAAACACAAGGGGTGGCGCTCCAGGACATAGCCTGTTGCCACGACAGATTGTCGCTTGCAAGAGTATCAGGACCGGCACTGCTTCAAAACATGGCGAACATGCTGCACGACGTGGCTGCGACTTCGGTGGAGAGGTTGGGTGCTTACAAAGCCGTTGATACCTGCACAACTCGGCCTTCAAAGGACATGAATAAACAGTTTGCAATTTCATGTAGGTAGGGGTTTGCAGAGTTCCAACAAGGCCTGGGGGGATGTATATACTTTCGTTATGTGTATCTTCTTATTTTTGTCTATTTAAATTTAAATACATTGCTTACAGATACGCTTGGAGGGCCTAGGGGTAAAACTCCAACTTATCAACAGAGAGGCCTCCTACAAAGAACTCGACTGCACTGCTCGATGCGCCATAAACGCTCGACATGAACGATTCCACGCCCTACTGGTACCATAACTTCTCAAATCCTCGGACTCTGAAGGCCACAATCCAAGAACCTCTGCAATTCCTTGCACAACCAAAGCCATTTTATGTAGGTTCTTCTTAAAGCACCAAGTATGGAAGCAATAGGAGCCCGACAAAGTTTAGGCAGGCTAAGGCATAGTATGTTCAGTTCGAAGCGCAGAGCTGTACCATTTTCTCTCGAAATTGCAAGAAGAGGGACTCCGTTCGTGCAGGGGCTTTACCAATAAAATTGATTAAAGTTCTGGTGTAGATTCTACTATAACCATTATAAGGAGCCCCAAAGTAGTATTGATAATTATTTAGGCCTCTATATTCCTCTTTACGATTTCCCACACCCCAGCCCGCGGCAGAATCCCAAACCGTGGATCAGGTCCACGCGGCTCAGCGCAATGTCGTGGTCGCCAATCCTGTCGGGAGCCGAGGGCAATACAGGGGTGGGAATAGTTGGGACTCTAAACCCTAAACCCTAAAATCGGATCCCTCTCTGGGCTCAGGGTGCTAGGGTTGAGGGCTTCAGGATTTAGGAGTTTTAAAGGGTTTAGGGTTTAGGGTTCGGGCTTTAGGGTTTAGGATTTCGGGTTTAGGGCTTCTTCCCACCTGCTTTGCTGACAGGGTCGTATAGGGCTTGGGGCGTTAGGGTCGAACACCTTCAGAATTTAGCCAGGCTCGCTTGCCTCCCGTTGGTTTAATCCTTGGTCGTTGTTCCTGGCCCCCATGTATGAAACCTGATAATAAAGCAGACAGCTACTACCTTTACTGTTTTTGTTGCTATGACTTACTGCTTCAATTTTCTAGTATATCCCTGACCCAGTATCTTACTGGGAAAGGCTACAGGGCCTCTATAAAATGGTGAGACTCGTGAGAAGCTCTTGCTGAGCGCTGCAAGTGATCTGGAGACCTTCCGGTTCCAATATATTATATATATATATATTATTTATATTATATATATATATATATATATACATATATACACACCATAATACCAAAATGCACACTAACTATACTCCTTCTGCCATAGTACACCCCGAAAACCCTATTCCAAATTTCTAAGCCCCCTATCTTCAAGGCCTGTTGATATTTAGTGTTGAAACAAGGGTGTAGGTTTCTTGTGTTCCCCATGGGGCACGAAGCGCTGCTGGCTTGGGAAGTGCTGCGATCTTGGTTATGCCCTGGAGAAGTTCTACTGAAAGGACAGTCACAAAGGGCAAACTGTTAGTGAATTTGGGGCTCGCCCAGGCCATGTATGGTATATATATATATACAGATACCTCATGTATTGATTCATTCTCAACCCGTTGTTTCTGCCGGCCACCCTTGCCGTCCGTGCGACCTCCTTCCACATCAAAAGGAAGTAAGGGACTGGATGGCCCGGCGAACTGTAGTGCTGGATGATGTTTCATAGCGAAATTTCGGACCAGTGCAAAGAACTTCCCCCTAATATAGGAGCTTTAATAATTAGAATAGGGTTTTGGGGCCCATGATACTAGAAATTGTAATGAGGAGCCCTAACTGTAATGTTTGTAATTATTTAAGCTTCTATATCACTACACAAGCCAACAGGCGCCAAGAAACGACTCGCCCTTCTTGTAGCCCATGAAGGTCTTCGCGGAACAGATTGGCCGCAATCGATCCAGCTTCCTTGGTTATGTGCAAAACACATCGCGAATAGGACGAGACGCCGTTGTTGGGGTGATCCCGCGCGTTGATACCGCTGACCAGGATACGGCTTTATGGCTGATGACGGTAGGAGGGCCTCAGCGAGGGAAATCGGCGCCCTCATCTCATCATACCCCGGTGTTCCAGCAACTCCGACAAAGCTACACGAAACCGTCCATTGCTGGGGCTGGCCAAACTCTGAACTTCCATAGGGGCGTGAACCTTTGCAGAATTCTGCCAAAGAAAAGACTGAAGGGTGATGCAACTACAGTCCTCAGCGGTTCAGGGTTGAGGGTTTAGTAGTCGTACACTTCATCGGCAGGCGAAAGCCCCTTCTTGTTCCTGAACCCGGCATGTTCTCATGCTGAAGAGGGTCATCAGGTCATGGATGACCATCAAGACGAGCAGTGCCAACGTCCTCGAACAGAGCAGTCTAGGTCACAAGGTGATGATGGATACCTTAAGAACCCCAAACCCACCTTTTTGTAGGTTCTTATTACAAAGCCAAATATGGGATTTATAGGGACCCTACAAAAAAGTAGGTTTTGGGCTCTGAAGGTATGAAGCAAGGCCTGACGACTCAAGACCTCAAGCGAGAACAGCCCCAACTGATGCAAGCACTTACAACCCGGCTATTCTAACAAGAGCACTTCCACACCGAGTTGCGAGGCATGTATTGAAACGCCCCAGAGCTTCTTAAGGCTTTGCTGTAACGCCTAATGACAATTGCAGAGTAAATGCCGTAGGATGCTATACAATCTCTCTCTAGAGTGTGTAGATATGTTTTAGTACGTATGCATGCATGCATACTTGCATGTATGCCTAGGCCCATACAAACGCACATGAACAAGGCAACAGCTCTGGAGCCGTGTAGGTTTCTAGTAGGGTTTCAGGGTGTGGCATTTCAAACGGTTACAGAACTCAGGGATAATCTAGGATTTTAAGACCCAGCCCCTATAGCCAAAATCCATCCAACGAGAAGCCAAAAAGACGCACCCGAAGCCTGAATCTTTGCAGAGGAACCGGCTGGCAACATCGTCGAGGAAAGAGTGGTGACGAGTTAGCATGCAGTGTCTCGTGGGCTGATGAGTGCTCGGGGATGACTTCTGACTTTACATCCATGAGCAAACCCTCCAGAAATCTGCATGCCAATCTATGCAATTATAGGCTCTTGCAGAAGCGACTAGAGTCCGGAGGATGGTGTTGAAAAGGACAAGCTCCTGAAGTCTAGGTAACTCAACAAGGATACTGCGACGGATTTTGCGGTCACTAGATTCGAAAACCCATGAAGGGGCAGGAGGTACATTGCGAAATCTTCTAGCCGCCTTATCCCCCCCACCACCCCGACAACTGTCACGAGGCCTTTCTGCATCATGCGGGCCTCCCTTCTTCATGAGCCTCGGCTTTTCGGCTATACGAGTCCGGATTCTGGCTTCAGGTTCAGGAGTCGAACCCAGAATCCAAGAGACAAAGACACCTCCTAATCCTGACCTTTCCCCTCCTAGCCAGAAGGCTGTGACATGCCTCTTTTGGCAGGGTTGCCTTGCAGGTTGAGAATCTAGTATCTACTCTTGGCTGATGAGCCCTGACAATAGGATATACCCAAAAAAAACGTGGGAGATACTCGGAGCTGAACGAGAAGCAATCAGCAAGTGGTACCACGACTCTTAACAAGTCTTTCGTACTTGCACAGCTCCGAAACCGAAGAGCTTTAAGGCTTGACCCGAAACCCGCCAGATCTCTATGTTGGCGAGCCTTTCACTCTTGTGGGCTCAAGAGGTATCAGCGCTCTGATATAAAAGCCTCAAAACTGCTATAGAAAACCCAACATGCAACCCTCATAGAACCGACAACTCTATAGAATCTACAACTCTAAAATCAAACCCAACGCCCTCCCCAGTATGGAGCCGCGGCGCCCTGCAACGATCAGGAGGTTCTCAAAAGCGGCCCAATCCGTGTGTTCGTAGAAGTCCTCGACTTCACCCAAAGCACCCAAGAGACGTAGGGGAGTGGGTTTCGGCTCTCACACTCGCACAATACGGGGGTTTCTGAAAATGGGGGACCCTAATATAGTACCCTAAACAATAGGATCCTTATTATAAGGACCCCAAAATAAGGTACCCCTAATTTTCGGAAACTCCTATACGGGGCGAGGCTTGTGGTCGTAGGTCGGCTTGGGTGAGACTGAAGAAAACGAGAAGGCTGGGATCCAACACTGCTTCTCATTGTGGGGTTCCAAGGACAAGGCCTTGGGTCGGG